TAGATGACATAAGAATGATGATACTGGTGCCTCAAATATAAGAGTAATAAGGGGCTACTTACTCTTGTGTTCAATAAATGAAAACATCACACATCTTTTGGTGAAGATCTTCAAGACTGGCATTATGCAGACCTGCAGGTAAATGGGCCATAAATCAAAAGTGTGAACTTGAATCAGGATAGAGAATACCAATAATTGTGTAGGTCTGATTTATATTCAAAATTTTTGTAAATGAAAATGGCAAAAGTGTGAACTTGAATCAGGATAGAGAATACCAATAATTGTGCATATAAGTCAAACAACATCAAACATTTAACACATTTCATACACAGTGCTCACAAATCAGACCTTAGAGATCATATTTTACCTCCAGATTCAGTTGCTAAACAAATAAGAACTTTAAGGAACATGATTCGGCATGAATATTCAACCAAAATAGTGCAGATTTTTGTTCAAAAAACATCGACAAAACAGGTTACTTTACAACACGTGCTTTCAAATAGACAAAGATCAAAAACACAAGCACATCAATATTCAATCTCATTTCCAACCAGCCACTCAAGCATAAAGACAAACATCTAGCTGTCTCTTTAAACAAAGTTGTGAATTTTGTAAAGCATTAGAGGAGTTAATTGAAGTAGTTTCTCTAACACATACGTGTAATTTTATGTTGTTCTAAATAAAAAAAATCATGTATGAAAAATCAAGGGCTCTCAACATTATCACATGGCACTCATCAAGATAAAGGTGAGTAACAAAGTGAAAATAAAATTATAATGGTTCACCCTTATGAGCTGATAAAGGCTTAAGGACCCTTTCTTCCCTTACACCAATATTAAAACACTAAGATAATTAAGAATTCTACGCAGCATATAAACAAATTTACTGAATAGATGAAAAATTTTGGACCTCCCATGTTGAGGAGACAAAGAGATGGAGCCATGGAGGCTCGCAAGTCCACTTGTTCTCGCCGTATTGCTATCTCCGTAACCAACATTCCATCCATGATAGGTGTTTCAAATTTGTCTGTAGCCGAGCCCAAACACGGACACTATGGAGACCACAGAAGGTAATAAACCATATTTTACCAAAATCCTCTACACGAACAAAAATGAAAGTGACCATATATTAGATAACGTATCAAAAATTCACTCACTTCAAGGTTTCCTTTAGAGCCACCCATTGCAAGCATATATGGGCAGTCATTAGAAAATGAAAGGGAAAAAAGGAGCTCCCCTGACCAAAAACATAGTAGTGGGTGAAGTACTGGTTTAAGCATATATACATTATCTGTTGTAAAAAGGTAAAACATTTCCCACTTTTTTTTAAAAAAAGAAGAAGATAATAATAACAATGATGATGATGATTATGATGACAAATGTAGATATACTACTTTGGGATTCTTAGAAGCAATACATGAAGGTTGATTGTCAGACTTGTCAGACAAATCCCATAGTTTTACCTGCATTTGGTTGGTCTCCGTCAGTCTTAACAGAGACTGTTTGAGATGCTGAGAATTTCAAAAGAAGATGAGAGAGATGAATGTCGTTTTATCTAAAGAACCTGTCGCAAGAAGCTACCAAGATTAACATAAATAAATTAGTTCATTAGGGAAGATGATGGATGACACTATGAAGCAGGGATGGAAAAAAGACAGGTAGACGTCTAAAAAAGGGAAGCTATATATATACATTTGGAACCAATGAATTGAAAGCAATGGAGCAAACAGCTTTGTCTTGAACATAGAGGGTGAAACTTGGCTTCATATTAGGATCAACACCCGCCTCTAAAAGGATCTTTCCAAACACATATTTTAAAATTAAATTTTAAAATAAAAAGATGAAATGCTCTTACACACCATATTAAGAGGACATTGATTCTCACATTGGCTAGTTGTTCCACATTCTCGTCTAATAACAACAAAAGTAGTTAACAATATAGCTACTCCGTACCCTTAAAAATTGCTACTTCGTATGCGGTACAAAGTACCCCTCATAGTTCATTAAAAGTTTGTTGTGAGGATGAGTATGTGATGAGGGGGATGCCCCTCATCACAATAACGACAATATAGACTTAGATGAAGAGACAATTGATTTGAGAAAAAACTGACAAAGGGATGCCCCCTTTTCCACGTTTCCCCTACTTTGAAAGAACATATAAGAGCAGTACATATTGCCATACTGTGATAAAATAAAAAGAAAAATGCAATTGTGCCCCTGGTGCATTTAGTAAATTAAATATACTATAGATATAAAATTAAATACGTAATTCAACATAACATAATATTTATGCCAAGTCTCCATTTTATAACCATATCAATTACTTGAAACAGTCATTTTATAAACATATCAAAACTATGTTAAAATAAAAATATGGAGAAGTCATGCATGTTGCTCAAATTTCTCAATATGAATGCATGCCTTAGTTTGGGAGCAACCTTTGGATTTACCTTTGCAGCCTTTTGGTTCTTTGTCCGTCAACTTCTTCTCCAATGTTTACCTTTTATTCAAGTCTGAAAGCACTTGAAAATAAAAAAAATTGCAAATCAGAATTTTAACATTAATTTACTATTTGTGATAGGACAATACAGAGAAGATTAACATGCCCCAGTGAAAGGATGACACAGAAAATTTGAGAAATGGTCCTCATTTTTTAAACTAATTTTTCCATACGTTTCTACTGCATTTGGGTTTCAACCTGCGGGTTTTGGATATTTGATTCAATTTAATAATATGCTAATTTAAAAAATAATACTATTTTTGATTGAAAATCAAGAAAAACCTAACACATCAAATATGGATTGATTCAAAAAAATGGATCTAAACAAACCCTAAACTTATTTTGATATGAAGCTACAAAACTGATGAAATTAACATGAAATTGATATGGAGATATATAGGAGTAAAGATGGATTGAAACCTTAATTATGAAAAAAAACATAAGAAATTGATGAAATTTGAATCAACAGTACCCGTTGGGTCAAACTCGAGGAAGATGATGAAGCAACGACAGCCTCCACCATCTCCTTCTTTCTCAACTTACAATGTTCCCTTCTCAATTTATTCTGATCGATTGAGTCTCTAAAATTCGTCCATCTCTGTTCGCGATGTTGCACCGCATCGAATTAAAAAGCCCTTTCCTGTAAGATGTGCATTAGTGGGTGGTTGGGACTTGCGATTTTTCTTAGGGAACCGGCGTCGTATTGGTCATGCAGAATTGGGCTACAAATTTTTCCTATCGGTTGTAAATAGGATGATGTAGTTGTACAATAGATATAAGGAGCCCTTTGTTTCAGCCTCTTAATGGTTCAGATGTCTGAATGGTTCAGCACTTAATGGTTCAGACTGTTTGTTCTAGCATCTTAATGGTTCAGATGTCTGAATGGCTCAGACATTTGCCTCTGAATAGTTAAGTATTATACAGAGTCTGAATGGTTAAGACTTCTTATCTGAATTGATCAGACATTTGCCTCTGAATAGTTAAGCAATATACTAGCTCTTAATGGTTCGGACCTCTTACTGGTGCAGCAGTTAATGATTCAGACCTCTTACTGGTTCAGTACTTACTTATTCAGAAGTTGTCAAACAGCCCCTAAGTATGAGAATTATTTTTAAAATATAATAATATTAAAACTAATCCTAAAACTACCCTAACACCGAAACCAAAACCCTTCCTTGCCCATGTATATTATAATCTTCTAAACCTAATGATGAACAATAAGTTAAGCTACGCATCTTGAATCCAAACTTGAATAAACTTCCTCATTAATCTTGCCGAATAGACTCCCTACTACTCAAACAAAGAGAGTTCTATAAATTTTAGTGAAGTTTTGCTCTAAGCAGCACAAAAACTTAACATTTTTTCACAAATGACACCGAATAAGTTTTTTTTGTAAAAAATAACATTAAATTAATTAATTATTAATAATATCCACTTACTATAATGTCCTTGTATCTTTTTTCTCCCTTTGACAAATTAGCAGGCTGTTGATACAATTTAGGATGTGGTAGTGATAACTGGATTCGGCAATAAGATACTTGAGCTGAACCACATTAAAAGATTGAATCCAATCGATTAGTTAGTTCAACTCAAGAGCTTATATACCGCTTATTTTACTCTCGAACTTCCGATGTGAGATGCACTTTAATACTCCTCCTCAAGTGGACAACCAGACCATTTTGAATCTAACCAGTGGACCACTTGCAAATGAACTCCCATTTCGTTAATTTTTTTTAGCGTCAACACCTAAAGGACCACGAGCCGCTGGATATGGACTTTCAAACGAGCAATCGTGTTAAACGGGACATAGGTCGTTGGTTACATACTCCATACGGACAACTAGGCTAAAGACTAAAGGGCCGCTAGGAATGAACGTCTAGACAGACATCGATCTTAACAAACGAGGTGTGTCCAAACCTACTTCGGTACCATGATAAAATTTTAGAACTGAACGCCTTGACTGCATTTATACCATAAACCCCTATATATAGTACAAGAGTTACCAAATATAAACAAGGAAATACAGTCCTACAAGGAAACCGTTTAGAACTAAATATGTACAAATATATTCCAATAGTTGTTAGACATGACCTTAGACTTTTGGCTCTTACTGAGAATTTAACCTTGGATAAGAGTGTTTGAAGAGGCGTTTGGATCTGGTGGTAATTTATATCTTGTTAATGTCTCTTTTATATGCTTGATGTTGTTTTATTCTATCTTTAGCTTGTTCCATACTTCTTTTTGTACTTTAAGTATGGATTAGTTCTGCACACACACTCTCTTCGGACCATACTATTAAGAATAAGTATCAGGAAGAAAAAATAAATAAAACGGAACGCAAAATATGTTGGAAGAAACTGAAATAAAAGGAGAGAATCGCAATTTTTAGCAAAGCCATGAGTATCAGATTGTCCAACAAAAGAAGAGAAGAATGTCTTTAACCAGCCAGAACAGAACAAAAAAGAGAGTAGTCATTAAATATAAGCTTTGCCACAGTTTGGGAATCTTTTTCAAAACAGATTCGCAGTGCCAAAGCCAAGCTTGGATCAAAATATATGTGCCTTGAACCTCTTTGCACAGGCACACACAATGGTCCCCAAACCAATTGTTATATCAAACCGTCATCTTAGAGTAAGAGCGACATCATAATATTAACAAAAAAAAACTGCTTGCCAAATAATTATGTAAAGAGGCATCACACATAATCATATATACTCATCATCCTCATCGTCTGAAAGCCACATGCCGACAAAATAACCTCCACCGCTGCCATTAAACTGCCGGTTTTCCAGAACCTTAGCCAAGTCAAACGCTTGAGCATCCCCCATATCTCCCAGTTCTCTTAGCTTTTTCTGCAACGTGTAATAATGATATATAATTTAAGGACCTCAAACATTACTAAAATTCTTTCTAAATCACTTGCAGAGCAGTGATAAAGTTGGGATTTTGTTCATATATTTGAATGCAATTTAAAAACCAATTGTTAAAATAATCTGATTGATGTCACAGTACTAGTGAACTACTTTAATATCAATCCAATTAGTTTACCAAATACACTTTATATTGCACAAAAGTATATGAGCAAAAGGCAAACTTGGTCACTCTACCAAAAGTGAACAAATAAAATGGGGCAAAGGGAGTAATAGGTATCAATAAACCAAAGCATGAGAGAGAGAGAGAAAGAGAGAAAGAGAGAGAATTTTTATTTCAAAACCACAAAGTAAAAACTTTACCACAAACGTCTTCATTGCATCTGTAGTTACACCTGCAGACTTCCCAAAAATGATGAGCTTCACAGATCCGCTTCCGTAGTCTGTTAGCCGGACTTCAAATTCAGAATCCGATGGGCCACGGATATTGTTTATAAACTTGCCTTCTTCACGAGTCAAGAGATCGGCATGATCCAGTGGAAGAAACACAAGAAGGAATGGCTGAAAATTTTATGATATAACATCAGCACAAATAAAGCTCTTGCAACCTCAATACATGTATACAAGAGAGAGAGAGAGAGAGAGAGAGAGAGAGAGAGAGAGAGAGAGAGAGGATCAGTGCTAAAAAAGGCTAAAAACTAGAAACCATAGAAGAAACTTTAACCTTGCTGAGGAAAAGATAATCTAGAGACATCATCTCTTTTCCATCTTCATATGACGCCATAATCTTTTGCTTTCTTCCATAGACATACAATTTATGAGTTAATCCAGTAGATGGGAGGTTGCGCATCTGAACACAACGAGTTGATCTGAGTCAATTGTGCAAACAAATCAGATTTTCTTGAAAGGCAAAAGGATCTTACTCTCATTTCCATGGATTGTATGAGACTTTTGGGATATTGGAACTCTTCATAAACACAAGAAAGCATTGCCACGAGTACCCTACATACGTCACGATGCTTGCCTTCTACATCAACAATCATATCTTCCTGACCCTTATCACATGATGGATAACCTACAAAAATACAAAAAAAAAAATAAACTTCAAGAGAATAGTCTAAACAGTTTAGGAATTTCAAATCTTGACGGTGCGTATGATGGGACAAATCACAATGAATAAAATAGGTACATGCATATAATAAAAGTGTTCCACGGGCATTCGAAAAACCATGTTGTACTAATCTTCAAATACGCAAGAGATGGCAGAGAGACAGAGACAGAAAACCTGAAGTATAGATATTGATATTGCAATGTTGGGCAACAACAAGCCTTTGAATCTTTTGGCGGTTTAGAAGATATAATACTTCTAACTCAAAAAAAAGCAGCCGCGCTTTGACCTTGTCTTGATTTGAAGTTTGAGAAACGTCTGGAATGCCATAAAATTGGTTAACAATTTCACTAATGCCAACAACAGACTTTGTGTCCAGTGTGTTTGCCTCCACAGCCACCATAACCTATCAAAAGAAGAAGCTAACGTCAACTAAAAACAAATAAACAATATTACAGATGAGACAAGGGCACACACGAGGCACGTGTAACAGAATCTAACACAGAATTCAGGGACTACGAATAGCAACTGAAAAGGTAAGGTTGATGGAGAATCACACACAACCCAGGCAGATAGACATGAACGAACTATCAAGAACAGGAAAACACAAGCAAAGGAACTGCAGATAGCTAAACTGCCAAGTCACAACATATACTTCGTTTAATATCAAGTGAAACTCAACAAAATACTCCCTAAACTAAACTTTAAACATCAATAGCATGTCATGTTGTTCGCAAAAAAGGAGAAATAAGCACATAGTTATTGACATTATCATCAGTCACGCAAGTATAGATTCCACTCTGAAGAGTGACCTAGCACCCACCCCAACCCAATGAAAACAACCCCACAAATTAATGCTTACCATGCATCTATATCCATCATTCCATCACCTACTATCATCTATGTAAGGAAAAACTCAATACATAATTCATAAAATGAGGAGAAGGAATCATAAATCAGGGGAGCAACCGGGATACACTGCTAAATAAGTCGCGCACTAAAATTCCTGCAAAAAAGTTGCATGTCTGAAAACAAACTAAAGGGTTCTCATTAAAAACAAAGACTTAAATATGACAACAATGCAATGCAAGAATCCCATCAACATTGTCAAATACGGAGCAAATGTTTTTTTTCTCTCACGCAACCCACATTTATATTACACACTTGACACAGAGAGAAAAATACATGTGAGGATTTGAAATCGCACAAGAGGGGAGGCACATGAGAGGTATATTACACTAACCAAATTCAGAATGCAGGTTGACATGTAATATTTTAAAAAAAAGCAACTTTTACTTACAAATGTGGGGGGACCCTCAAAAAATGCTATCAGTGAGTTCTTCTCCTCATTATAATCATTCTTTAAGGATTCTACTAGTGACCTAAACTTCTCCTTGTCATCATTGCCTACCATGAATCTATAAACAGCCCACTTTAGACCTCGCTCCAATGTAAGCCTCTCATTCATTCTTCGAAGAATACGCTCGTCCTCCTTTTCATCAAGCATTGGGAAATGGATCTTAGGCAGCTCTTCATCAGTCTCTGACTCATCATCAGTATCTACCATGGACGACTCTTTATCAATCTCTGCAATCTGCTCTTCAGCCTCTACAATGGACTCTTCAACAAGCTCTTCAATATTAAATAAAAAAAGCCATCGGAATAAACAGGGGGTCTCCAATCTCCATAAATAAGCGGCGAAACAAAACTTTCTACAACTGACATGATAACATACTTGCATGTAAAAATCTTAGGATCGAGCAAAAAGCAAACAATTTTTTAAGGTCTATAAGGCCAGAACAGATAGATGTTCATATACGGTATGGTCTGAAAATATGTAAAAATAAAGACAAACCATAACCCCTCCTGAGCTTCTTGGAGCAAGGGTCGGCAACAATAAGGGGTCTACTACTTCTCTTCTCACGGCGGCCAATTTCTTGGATCAAGGGTCGGCAACAATCTTCCATTTTTTTCTTGTCTGAAACGCACGCAGACAAACGTTGAGTCGCCTCAGATATTCCACCCCTAGCCTTTTTCTACGACGATCGATGAAGGTAAAAGTGGGGGGTGGGGGTTCTACCCATTTCTTTTTCTTTTTCTTTTTCTTTTTTTTGGGCGAAAAGCCCAAGAACATACATACTCCGTATTTTGAATTTTAAATGCCATTAAGAGCATGAGTCCCACGGATCCCCGCGTAACTCTTTTAACTTTAAATGCTGTTTTAACTTTTTAGCATTGCAACAAATAAATGTGTTTTGGGCCTTTTTTAATCCATGTGGTAAAGTGTAGGTCTGGGTTTGCTTTAGCGAGGACCATAATACAGACTCAGATTGAAACGATACATCAAAGATAAATTGAGATTGAGACCTGAAAAAATATGATCGAAGTAGGCTTTGATACTCCTCCGATCTTTGATCGGCACTCTCAAGTCTCATTTGCTCTTTGGTCTTTGGTTTTTTATGAAAGGCTCGATTCATCTTGGATTTGATAGTCTTTTTTGAAAAACTAGACTAGACCAGATTAATACTAGAGATGTAATGTATTTGGAATACAATTTTTATACATATATATTTATATTTTAAAATTAAATTTTTATATAAATGTGTTTATCCTATGAATGTAGAGCATAATAATTTACATTATTTTTTATAAATTTACAAATAAGTTATAACAAAATAAAAAATCTCATATTTATAAAACATACACATTAACATTTATTTTTTGTTGATTCTACCCAACTTCAACCTCACATAATGATAATCATGTTATGTAGTTATTATAAATCAATAAAGTATATGAATAAAAGAAATTAAATAATTAAAAATAAGATTTATTTATTTTTTACACGTATTTTTTTAGAGCAAAAAATTAAATACTTTACGTACGTATTAAGGACCGCACTAGACATAGACCCGTCCTAAATTCTAACCGGGCTACTCGATCTTGAAAAGTCTTTATTTTTTATGAAGAGTAGGCTAGTCTGAATCGATTTACTCTCTCTGTCCTAAAATTAATTCCCTAGTTTGTTTTTGGTAGTCAGATTTTTTGAACTTTGACTATATATTACAAGAAAATACAATAGATTTTCATAGAAATTTAATATGAATAGATTCATTTTGAAAAATAGTTTTAAAATATATTATTTTTATAATATATTTTTATATATAAATAGAAATATTAATGGTTAAAATGTTATATTGGAGACCGTGAAAAGTCAAATGAGAAGTTAATTTTAGGGAGGAGGGAGTAAAAATTTGAATAGATCATGTTCTAAATAGTACATGTCCTTTTAAGGGATCGATCCAGTCTGACTCGTCTGATCCTTTAGCTCATCTCTAGTTTCCTTCACTTACACTATGGCTTTGCAATTTCGAGCCTCCCTTCATTTTTGATTAAGTCTATGGTATATGATGGAGCCTGACTCCACATCACCATACAGTCCCATATTGGGTCAACATTTGGCTCCATCAAGAGGATGCCTACGAGGTGGGGGCGTGACCTTGGCTTGGCACAACCGAGGGGGAGCCCTCGGCTTGGGAAAGAGGTCAGGCATTGAGTTTCAACTCTAATCACGTGAATCTACCCTCCAGGGACCATGTGTACAACCATAAGGAGCCAACGGCTAGCGACAGGGGCTAGATGACAGAGGAACATCATATCATGGGCGACCAAACAATTCCCCAGGTCTACGACAATAGCTAGACGATAAATAAATATCAATTACGGTTATTAGCGTTGTAACGAACATAACTATAAACACTCGTTCATTATGCATTATAAGGGGATCGAATCCTAAGCTAATAATACTCATACTCTTGCACTCACTCTCTCTTATTTTTTTTTCTTTGCTTAGTCATCTCACCTGACCCCATGGTCGGCCTACTTGGTGGTTTATTACCATCAAAATGGTGCTCTTGTTAAGAGGGGAGAACATGCTCAAAGGCTAGCTCCCTAGAACAAAAATGGTGTAGACCAGGAGCAACAACATCCCATGCCAGCCACTATCCACATCCATGGCGAAGGGAACGACCAAGCCAACGGCAACAGAAACCATACCGCCGCTATCACCTCGGCTTCCGATATGGTCCAGGCGCTGTTCGTGATGAGAGTGACCCCACTGTAGCTCCAGGTTGCCGTTATCGCGCTCTCTGTAATGGGCGAGAGTGTGCACGACACTGGAGCCCAGGACCCCCGACACTGAACACCCTTCCACTTTTGAGGCCAATGGGAAGAAGACCCAAATGAGTTGGAGGGGATCCCGCAAGGCCCTAGTGGTGGAGGATGTTATCGCAGAAGATATCCTAGAAGAGGGAGACGAAGACTCTGGTAGAGGTCAGGTGTTGGCCTTCAAAAGGATGGGGGATAGGAGGTCTGCATCTTCGCCTTCAACCGACTCAATCAAGGACGTTCTACTCACCAGGATGATTTGCATCGCCTCATCTCAGAAGGAAGACGAATGCACGCTGAGGAGCCGAGCACCGTCAGCCCGACCGCAACAACGGTCGTTGGGATGGGTGGACGCAGAATTGACAGGGTGGAGATAATGAAGGGATGCATTGGAGCTCCATGAGGCTCAGAAAGACTAACACCACAGAATATGGCATGTTCAATCTCGCGAGAAAAGTGGCCAAGCTCAAACGAAGGGTGGAGACCAAATCACCCTACGGCCAGCCGATCCTAAGGACGGTTACCCCCTTCACACCTTTGGTCATGTTGGTACTGTTACCGACTAATTTCCACTTGTGACATGTTAAGGTGTACAATGGGACGACTTACCGGGTTCCCGAGATACTTCATCAAAGCTGAGGGAGTCATCACGGTGCCCGTGATAAATGCGAATGATGCCCACAATGTTATGTTGAATATGAAATGCATGGTGGTGAGCTTAAAATGCGAACACAACATGATCCTTGGATGTCCTTGTCTTGTGGACTTGGAATGTGTCATCTCTCTGTACTACCTGTGCATGAAGTTCTCCACCCCCTTCGGAATCAGGGTGGCAAGGGGGAACAAGAGACTCGCCCGCTCATGCTATGTTCAGATCAAAAGCGGGATGAGACACTAGTTGTAGACACCCGTGATTAAATCGGGGAGCAAGAGGCATGGCTGAAAGTAGAACTAGTGGAGGAAGTACCTATTGACCTACGAGTGCCCGAGCAGAAAGTAGAGATCAGGGTGGGGTTAGGAGAGAGCTTACACAGGCAGTTGATGGTTGTATTCTCGATGCTCAGTGCAATCTTCGCATTTTGGACCCAACGACATATTTAGGGTAGACCCCAAAATCATATGTCACCGACTCGTGATCAACCCAGAGTCCAAGATGGTAAAACAGAAGAAGTGGTTCCTCTCATCCGAACGGAGGGTCTTTGTTGCCAAGGTGGGGACTCTTTAGAGTATTGGTCACATCCGAGAGGTCAAGTATTCAGAGTGGATGGACAACATGGTGTTGGCACCCAAGGGGGTGACCTAGAGGATGTGTGTGGATTACACCGACCTCAATAAGGCGTATCCCATGGATCCATTCCCACTCTCGAACATCGATTAAGGGGTGGACAAGACCGCTGCATGCGAGCTAATCAGTTTCATGGATTGTTTCAGTGGGTACCACTAGATCAGGATGCACTCGAATGACGATGAGAAGACGTCATTCCAATTGTAGCCATGTGAATCCACTGTCCTATGACGCAGGTGTACAACCATAAGGCTCCAACGGCTAGTGACAAGGACTAGACGACATAGGAACATCACGGGCGACCAAACAATTCCCTAGGTCCATGACAATAGCTAGACAACAAACAAGTATCAATCACGGTTATTACCGTTGTAATGAGTAAAATTGTACTATAAATACTTCTTTGTTGTGTATTGTAAGGGGGTCCAATCCTAAGCTAATAATACTCTTACTTTTAAACTCTCTCTATTTCATTTTCTTTGCTTACTCATCTCACCCACCCCACAGTCGGCCTACTCAATGGTGTATTACCATCAGGATAATTTTGAATTAAGATTTAAAAAAAAACATTTAAAATCTTGGTGTTAATCACGGGTATTATTGTTGTGATGAATATAACTATAAGGAAAAATTATCTTAAATAATTTCACCTTTTCGCACTCTTTAAAAAATAATCTCACTTTTCATTGTCACCAGAAATAATCCCGCTTTTTTGCATTTGTGCGAGTTTTGGATCGCCGTTAAAAAACTAATAGTCACTTAACGGAATCTTTGGAAAATACCTGTTTTTTTCAAATAAATGAAAGGTAAGATTATTTTAGGTAATTTTTTAAATTTCTAACTTTAAATTTAAATGTATTTTTAAATTTTTTTGGAAAAATAATGCCAAATTTAAGTATTTTTTAAAGTGAAACTATTTATTTTTTTCAATAATTGATAATCTGGTAATAATAAAAAAAATAAATTATTCTACAGAGTAAAACTAATTTTTTTTACTTCATAACTCACTACATTTTTTTTGTTAGTTGCAATTATTATTCTTGAGCGGCAGCTCGAATTGTTTTCTTATACTATATTATTATTATTTCTTAAAAATGGCACTACGAACTCGTAAATATTTTTTGACAGACGTTTAAGAAATATTGGTTACATCAAAGTTTATTTATACCAAATACCTTAAAAGTGTATTTATACCAAATACTCCCTCCGTCCCACTCTCTTTGTCCACTTAACTTTTGGCACAATTACCAAGTAAGTGGGACAAGAGAGTATAGAAGGACTAAACTGCCCTTATGGCCATGATGAGAAGGATAGGAAATTGATCACTGTAGGAAGCATTGAGCATTACAAATGTACTGTACAAAGCATTGTGCAATGCATTTTCTTCCTTTAACCACACATGAAGTTGAAGGGTAAAGCAGACCTTTAGATAAGTTTTTCTTACCAAATTAAGTAAGTGAACAAAAACACTAGGACGGCCCAAAAAAGAAAAGTGGACAAAAATAGTGGGACGGAGGGAGTACCAAATACTGGTATAAATATTGGTTACATCAAAGTTTATTAAATCTTAATTACATCAC